ACAGTTATGGTATCCTATTCAAGCTGGAATGGTGAGAAGATGCATGCCAATCGTGCTCTTGTCACTGACTTCCTCAAGAACAAACTAAAGTTCAGGGTAACACAAATGATTTATCTCCTTGTTTCTCTTCTTGACTGAAATAAAGAGAACCTAGATTTTAATTTAATGTGTTCAATTGGGCGTATTTCAGGGTTTTGTCATTTCAGATTGGGAAGGTATTGACAGGATCACATCTCCTCCACATGCAAACTATTCATATTCGGTTGAAGCTGGTGTTGGTGCTGGAATTGATATGGTCGGTCAAAAGTCATTATTGTATGACATATTGGTTTGCTCCTTTTCGTTCAACATTTTGTAATGCATCCCTAGGTTTTGTGCAGGTCATGGTTCCTAATTCCTATACAGAGTTCATTGATGATCTAACCTCTTTGGTCAAGAACAAGATTATCTCCATGGGCAGGATTGATGATGCTGTGAGAAGGATCTTAAGGGTTAAATTTGTCATGGGCCTTTTTGAGAATCCTCTGGCTGATCTCAGCCTAGCCAATCAACTTGGAAGTCAGGTCTGTTGTTTTATATTTTACAAGGTGTACTAATCTTCATTTCATAACGTAAGAAAGAAAAAGGGAAAAAGAAATCACCTATACTAATTAAACGGTGGGCATTGGACAGGAACATAGAGAATTGGCAAGGGAAGCAGTGAGAAAATCACTTGTGCTGCTGCAGAATGGTAAATCTGGTGATAAGCCATTGCTGCCCCTTCCCAAGAAAACAACCAAGATACTAGTTGCTGGAAGTCATGCTGACAACTTGGGCTATCAATGTGGAGGATGGACTATTACCTGGCAAGGTCAAGGTGGAAATGATCTTACCATAGGTATGTTCTAATTCACACATTACATATGGTTTCACGAATGCAATGATCTGGAGATGACATCTAAAGTAGTGTCATCTGCATAAACAGGTACCACCGTCCTTGAGGCCATCAAGAACACAGTTAATCCAGCCACCCAAGTTGTGTACAACGAGAATCCAGATGCAAACTTTGTCAAGTCCAACAAATTCTCCTACGCCATTGTTGTTGTGGGGGAGCCATCATATGCTGAAACAGCTGGTGACAGCATGAATCTGACAATATCCGAACCCGGTCCCAACACCATCAAGAATGTCTGTGAGGCTGTCGACTGTGTTGTGGTTGTCATTTCTGGCCGGCCTGTAGTGATCCAGCCATATCTCTCAACCATTGATGCACTAGTGGCTGCTTGGCTTCCAGGAACTGAAGGCCAAGGTATTGCTGATGTTCTGTTTGGCGACTATGGTTTCACTGGAAAGCTGGCAAGGACATGGATGAAGACTGTTGATCAGCTCCCAATGAACGTTGGTGATCCCCATTACGATCCTCTTTTCCCATTTGGATTTGGTTTAACAACCAAACCCATCAAGCAGAACTGAAACCCCTTCAGAGATTGATTGGCGTATTTTACCTCATTTCTTCATGGTAGAAAACTTGTTAGCATCATTTTCCATTTCCATTTCCATTGAAGAACTCGACGAAGATCGTAATTATTGAATCTTATTCTCCATATTTTTTTCTTCAATCCAACGGTCTCAAATTCCATATTTGTTTGCCTCACTTGCATAGATAGAGTATTAATAAATATTAATTTTATATACATAAATAAATAAATAAATATATATATATATATACACGTATGAACGTAAATTTTTTCACGAGAGAAAGAGTAAAATTGTTTAAATTATCAAATTTAATTTTTTTTATTTTAATAAAAATTTAAAAATATAATAAAAAATTTAAAGTAAATTTAAAAGAGTTTTAATTTATGATTTTGTCTTTTTGGAATGATAAATGTGATGGACAGTCGAACCATGCGAGGTAGC